CCTTTTCTCCTTTCCTTTTCTCCTTTCCTTTTCTCCTTTCCTTTTCTCCTTTCCTTTTCTCCTTTCCTTTTCTTCCTTCCTTCAGACTGTTGCTTCCTCGTAATTATCATTATACCTCTCTTTGAGAAAGGATTGTCTTTTCTCTTGATCTTTCGCAGCTTTTAAACTCTCATAAAGTGGAAGATGGATTTCCCTCTAAACTTTTGATTGTTCAAGTTTTGCCTGCCAAAGGAAACTATTCATCCCCTCTTCTAAACCCAATCCAATGGTAAAAATGTACAATGTTTAACACGCCAAAACAGCTATAGCCTATACTATCTTATGATGGAAATTTGTTTAACAAAACACAACGTATTTTAAATGTTATTGATATGTATGCCATGTATAATTTATGCTGTTTCCACAGAAGTCCCTCATAAAATTTGTATGCTTTACGTGATGCGGGCTAATGGCCTTTAACACTGAATTAAATACCTACTGACCTAGTGATGTATTAAAAATATATAAAAAATAGACTGTAGAACGATCCAGCTGCAAAGTTGTCGCGTCTTGTCAAACCTGATCAAAAGAGGCGTAGAGAACGAAGACTATCGCATGAGTGACTGAATGGCGATTTCCGTGCGTCATGCCTCGTTCGTCAACGCGCCAGTCTATACTTCGTTCCAATGTAAACATATTAATATTCACCTCTCAATAGCTTGAATGTGCGCGCGTGGGGAGGGTGTGCCTTTGCGTGTGTGTGTGTGTGTGTGTGTGTGTGTGTGTGTGTGTGTGTGTGTGTGTGTTTCCGCTATTTGCCCTTTCTCAGACTTGCGTGAGCCATATTAAGGAACCTGTTTATTATTAAAATAGAATAGTGTTTCCCTTTACCTTGGCTTTCGGAGGGTCTGGAGTTTGAGCCCCGCCAATCTCGAAGCGTTGCATTTTGTGAGGGTTTTCTTCTTAATTCATTTATTCCGTTTGAAGACGCCGTGTTTGGTGATCGTGCACAATCCTGTCTCATAAATCAGAGAAAGTGGTTTGCCGTGTCGAATGAGGCAGACCTCGGGCCATCCAGACAACACGCACGTCGTGGCAATCTATCTTGCTTGTCTAGGAGGATCATCACGTCATTGTTGATCCCAGACTAACTGTGACTGATAACCCCCAGCCCCATCTCTTGTGTGGACGGTGGCGTAAAAACAACTACATATAACCCC